GGGTGTCTGATTTACATCCTGCATCTAAGATAAAAACATTTCCATTTGCTCAAGAACAGGCCCACATTTAGCTTGGGAATGCTTCTCACAGGTCATGATAAAAAAGTTATTAAAAGAAAGTTGCTGTAAGGGCAGAAAACCCATGCATCACCTTTAAATTACACTGTTTTTCATCATGTGGATAAATTGTAGGGAATTCTAGACAGGCTATAACTGCCCTGAGAGTTTCTTTTAGGAAGCTACCATAGTCAGTGTCTGTCTGTGACCTATATCCCTTTTCTGAGCCAGCTATAATATTTATCACTGAAATCTGTCTCTACTGGAAAGTAGTAATTCCTTTCAGGACACAAATTTTTGTTTCAAAGCTGAGCTTTGTAAGTGTCTGTGAGATAATGCACAGTTGCATAGTGCCTTGATACATGCACACAGACTGGTATGAGGCCATATCCCCATAATAAGCACAGTTGCCACAAATGTTGTGTAGCTACACTAGTACTCTGGGTTTAGCCAAATGCCTGGTGATTATCTAAATACAAGAACTTTTTTCCTACCTTTCCCTTTGACTGATATTGTAGCACAGGTATGAAAAATTCCAAAACCAATGTATTGCTGAGAGTGGGGCTTCCAAAGAAACACGCTGTATATCATAAAAACCCACTGAAATTATGATGCTAATTTGTCAGCAAAGAACTATGTAACCTAAGCTGACTACTTTGACAATACCAAGAGTGTCTGAAATCTAATATTCCATATTTTGATATACCTTCTATCTCGGGGTTGCTTCAATGAGCACGCACCCTGTTGATATACTACTCAAAGGGCAGATGGGTCCTCAAGCAGAGAGGCTTTGAGTTTACTGTTCTGGCTTCTGCACTTGTCTCAGCTCTAGAAATATTTGTCCAGATTAAATATCCTGGGAATGTGTCAGATCTCTCATTTGCATGTCAGTGATTGAAGTCAGGTTGATAGACTCTGCATATGAAACTTGATTAATCTTTCTTAATGAAAATATAGTGCAGACACATTTACTGAATTTATAATTTAAAATGTGATTGCTCTTTGAGATGACATGTGAGGTTATGGAAGAAACCTGTGGTGTTTTTAATAATATTTAAAAAATAACATGAGAGTTCAAGAGTTGGACTTGATGATTGTTGTGGGTCCCTTCCAACTCAGAATATTCCATGATTCTACAGTTTTCAAGTGTCGAGTCTATGAAAACACATACTTTGTGTATTTGCTTTTTAAATTTTGGTAGCTGATTTGAATTCTATAAGTTACTTTTTTCCAATGTTTTTATTTTTATGTTTTTTTTAAAGTGTATTGGCAAAGGAATATTTTTTAATTTTGCTTGTTTACAATAGAACACATGTGGTCAAAATTTTGATGCTTTCCTAAACAAGGGATGTAGAATACACAAGAAACGGAAAATTATTGCCAGACTATCTGTACTGTATGGTGATGAAGTCTAACAGCTCCAGTCACAAATCAGGTACTCAGCAAATAAAGAGGAAAAGTTAACACATGCCAGTGTAAGGAATGAATCAGAGGAAAGAACAACTTTGGTAAATAAACAAATATTAGAAAATGCATTTTCCTCTGGGAATGTTGTCAAAGAATGGAAGTTTCAATGCTTTCCTCAAACGCATCTTTAAACTGCCAGATGTCAGATGCGAAATATCAGATAAAATAGACTGTTAGAATATGGTTTTCTTCTAAAATTCACTTTTATCTCCAGTCTCTTTAGAGGCTTTAAAGAAAAGAAGTATTTAAAGATCTGTTATACATGAAATCCATATCCATACGTGCTCTTTTAATAGGAGGAAAGGCAATGGAGACATGAAAGGAAGCGAAATTTAAAAGCAAGCACACGAATAAAGAAGAGCAAATTAATATAACTTTTAATACAGAAGTAAAAAGTAAATCCGTTATTTTGGGTCCGTCAAACAAAAAGAGCAAGAGGAAGTGACAAGTCTGAAAAGCAGCTCTTCTTTTACCTCTTCTTTCCCTTTAATAGTTTTTCTTTCAGTGGAAAGTGTTGGCTTCTTTTTCCACCTTGTTTATTTTTTCCCTTTTCTTTTGGTGAAAACATGTTTCCTTCCAGAAATTCACTCTGCCTGCATCCTGGCAGAAACTTCCAACTGTCCTTAATATCCCCTCACACTTAGAGTCAGAGCCCAGGTTTTACCTCAAATGAGAAGTTCATTCTTTACCTCTTGTTTTTCTAAGATGTCCATATGATTCTTATAGGTTACCCAAATGTCTGCCAAAGACCACTCTATCCAAGTCCACAAAGATCTGATGCAATTATCTGCCTAAATGTCTAGTCTTTAAAGGAAACTTATTTTGGATGATTCAGAGTGACTGCTTATTTTGCTACTACTTCAGTAATAAACACATTATTTTAATGGCTCTTAGAAACAAATCCTGCAATCCTCACTGAGCAAAACTCCTGTTGACTTCAGTAAGTTTTCCTGGGCAAGTTTAGAAAAATGGTTTCAGTATTTGGCTGAAAATGTTACCCGAGATGTGTGTGTTTTTTAAAACATTAATAAAATGTGCTGATTTTTTTTTACTTTTAAAATTACATCTTTCAATATCTTCGCATGATTTGCCTTCCAAAACCAAGAAAAAACTTCACCATTGCTGGAACTAAGTGTCCTTCAGGCATTTGATTTTTCCCAAGAATGCCAGGGCCAAAATTCCTTTCTCAAGTGTCTGTGAACTGGAAAAAATGCGTATTCTGGTGTCTGGCATATGCATAAGCATGAGTTGGCTACTATTCTTTTGCATACTTTAATGGTCATAATAGTTTTCCATTACTTGTTAACTCCTGTTAATAGTGCAGCATCAAGGGATCACAATAAAAGTAGGGCTGATAAAATTCTGACTCACATGTAGCAAATGGGAAGTTTGGCTTAGCCCAAAGAAGGGCTCCACTTGATGTGTCAAGACATTACTGTAATAAACACAGTCAGTAGCAGTGTGTGGCACTTTTCCTGTAATGAATGTGTACCCAAAGGGAAGATAAAATCTGGCACTTAGATTCTGCTTCAGTTCTGGATGCACCTGTCTCTTGTGAATGGCAGAAGGAAATATGACAGCTCCTTATCTACTCATTTAGAGCTAGAGATGGTTTGGCTCAAATGGAGAAGCTGAAGTGCTGCAGAAAAGCAGAGAAAGAGATGGGCTAAATTTAGGGATAAGATTTTTTTTTCCAAATCTGATACTAAACTTATTGCCTAGTATTAAACAAAAGTGATTTTTTGGTGACTCCTTAGCATTGCAACAGCACACAAATAAGCAGTATTTCTGTCACACCCCACATACTGTGAAGGAGTAAGGTGTAGCTAGAACAGCTCATGCACTTGAAGTTGAAAGATTCTGGCTGCCTGTATCATGGGTTTTTCATCAGTGCAGATGCCTGATAAAGAGGAGGTTTTCATCAGTGCAGATGCCTGATACAGCGTTGTTTATTCACAACTGAAATTTTTGCTCCTTTTGTATGGAAAACAAAATATGTTAAAAATATGTGCAATGATAGCTCTTGTCGTTAGGTTGCAGAAAAACTTCAGAAGTTTTGGTTGGCGCTGACTAAACATAACATCTCAGCAATCTAGCTCAGAAAGCGGCTCTTAACACACTTTGATCTCTGGATCCTGTAAGAACTCTCCAGCAGGACAGATGAATACAGCAGGCCTTTTTTTGAAACACTTTTATTTCAGTCTGTTCTACATACCACTGTTTCTGCTGAACTTATTGCTCCTGTTTTCCCGAGCACGTGAGCACGTAGCCTGTCTCTCAGCTCAGAGGAAATTAATCTATCACCATTGCACCTTTCTATTCCCCTCCTCCTTTTAAAAACATTGCTCTTTTCCTGACTTTTTTCTTGTAAATGAGATACAATTTTGCACTGAAATAGCCATATTGCTTTAAACTGTCCAAGTTCCAGTTTCCATAAAGGATTGACATATGCAAATGCTACTTTTATGTTTTTTCCTCAAATAGTTAGATATGAGAAGCTGTGGCAAGAGGAAACAATTATTTAGATGACAATTTCTTGCTGATGCTGGAAATACCAAAATGAATTCCTTCACTTTAAATCTAGCATAGACACAGATGTTCTCTGGTGGGGAGAAATAGTCTTCTATCCTCAGTGATTTCTCCTCTGGAGATAAAACTGAACTCTAGGCAAGTTACAATGCTAAGGTCAATGAATTGAGAACCCTGGGGGATTTCAATGTACTTCAAAACTTTCTTATTAAGTCAATATTACTTGAATGGAATAGACAGATACATTCTAAGTCTATTGCTCTTTCTGTTAGATGGCTTCTGTAATACATCTAAGTTACTTATACTTCTTTAAATTTTTATAAAAAGCATTCTACAAACCAGATATTGTTGCACAATCATGTATCAAGAAATGAAAATAAATGAATTAATAAATAAATGTTTTCCAAAATAATTCTGCAAATATTCTGAGCAAGTGACATAACTTGCTGGAACATTTGGTTTGTCCACTGTAATAAGTATCTTAAGTTTATACCCTCACCCTTAGAATTTGCTATTGAATTTACAGTTGTTTACTTTCAAGAGTAGATACAGTAATATATTTTAAAAACAAAATGGATAATAGAAAGACAGGATCCATGATTATGCCCATGGCAGGGGGGTTGGCTAGATGATCTGTAAAGGTCCTTTAAATCCAAACCATTCACTGATTCTGTTATTCAAAGATAAGAATGTACTGTGTTTTCAAATTCAATTACATTTTTTACTGAATTAGCTCAAAACTAGATCATGTCTGCTGAAACATTAATGGGATCTAGGGAGGCACTGGAGAAGAAGATTCGCTTTGCAATAGACAAGAGAACAAGGCAGTCTCAGTATACTTGGCTTTAACAAAAATCTTAGGTCACAGCCATCCAGAGCTATTCTTGATGTATATGCAACAAGACATGATTACCAAGTAATTGTACTTTTCCTTCCATGTAATGCAGCCACTATGGAAGGATTCTCCTCTGCTGTATGGTCAGGCAAGCCATGTCTTCTCAGCATGATCAGGACGATGATTCTTGACAGAGCTAAAATTTTCCAAGGAAGATATTAATTAACTTTCATTAGAGGTAAGAATGCCAATATCATGTTTTTTTCAATAAGCAGCAAAGACCCACAGACACATTTTGGACGTGTGGTAAACACCTGCAAAGTAGGCTGAGAGCCTGACTCCTTCCTCCACTCAGGTCTCCAGTTCTTTCTCAGCTCTTCATAGATAAAGTGTTGGCTCTGTTAGAGTCAACAGGAGATAGGCCTTTAATTTGAGCAAGTCCAGGATTTTACATCATAAACCTGAAACTCATTTTATAGTCTCTTCCAGACAGCACCATGGAAAGAAGGAAGTATTGTTTTGCTTCCACAGTGATTGATCTGAGGTTTTCCTCATATTTGAATGAAATATGGAGCCGTATGTCTGAGAACATGTGCAAGAGACCAAACATTCATCCTCATAATACTACTAAGAACCTATTTGCCTTCTTTTTCTTCTTTTGGTAGAAATATATGGAATACATTTTAATCAAGACTGGCCAATTGGATTGAAGTGTCTTGAATATTCAGCAAAATTTGCAAGTATTTGGCAGTTTGTTCTTTTACTTTCATAATGAATTTAGCTATGCTACCTTCTGTTTCTGTCCAGAAGCAGAGGGACTAATACTTTACATGAAATATGGCTCCTAGATAGTCCTTAGCCTCCGTAGAAGAAATTTCAAAAAAGATATCTAGAACTTAGATATTTAGAGAGCACATTTGCAGATTACTTCAGCATCTCAGCTTTTGGATACCGATTATCAGAAACAAATCCCTGTATCTGAAGGCTTGCCTACCACCTACTTGGTTGAACTATGATGCTTACCAGGGACTTTGTAAGGGCTTAAATTTTAGTCTGGACTGAAAGTTCTTGTTGTGTCTTTGGAACTATGTCTCAGCAAAACAAAACATAAGAAAACAATAATCTAAAATGGCTTTCATTGAAATTGAATTAGAATTAGGTATTGTGGGTCACCATCTGTCAGATGTCCTGTGCTTGAGGTCATTGGATTAGACCTTGACAACACTGATAAGATTAATTTGTCATTCCTGGTGTTGAGTTGCAGATTTATGGATTTGGCTTCTACTGGGAGTAGCTCCAAGGATAGGAGGAAAAACAGCTTATAAATTCTTCAGAGCTCTTTGGAGCCAAGAGTTACTTTTTGCCTGGCTTTGTAAGTGATATTATTTAAAGGGTATTTGGAGACATAAGAATAATTGAAGAGTAAAATAAAGAGTGAAAAATAAAGGAAAGTTATTTCTCTTATAGAGTAACTGATAAAAACTGCATTCATGATTATCTCCAGAAATGTTTCTCATCACAAGTAAACATTCTGTCTTTGCTTTAAGAGTAAGCATTCTTCAGGCAGATCACTCATTGACTCAGCTACATTTACTACTCTGTTATCACTCATTTCCTTGGAACATATTTGTGAGAAATAAACAATTGTATTTTACTAAGATTTATTGGACTTTGATTATTGGACTTTGGCCAATAAATTCCATTGACTAATTATCTTTTAAAATGTCCAAACCAAAGCTGGCTGAGAAAGACAGACAAAGAATGACAGGTTTTTGTTCACAAGAAAAGAAAATATGTCAGCAAGTCAAATAATGTAGGTTTTATTTGGGAGCATGGAGTAAGTACTTCTTGTCACTTAGTGAATTGAAACAGTTACTGAGATTTTGCAGAACCATCATGGAAGAGTCTTTCAGACCTTGTTTCACTTCTAGCTGATAAAGATCTAATGAAAGTAGTGGGGTTCTGAGAAAATGCTCCACAGGCTATGGAGACATTCAGATTTTAATATTTTTGGTTCATCATCCATCTGAAAGAATCCAATAGAATCCCAAGTCAGGAATTCTGTCTGTTGAGATCATGAAACCCAGTATGACAGAAAACTTCTTGTTTTAACTTTGGTAGACTTCATAGGTTACTAGTGCTAGATGGAGCTGTGGGGAGCAGGTGTCAGGAAATGCAGTAGTAATGAAGCCAGGTCTTGGCTGTAGCTGAGTAGTTCACAGCAGAGCCGAGAGCCATGAGATTTTAAAATTAGCTATAGTCACTCTTTTCCCTACGTGAGACTAACTAGGGAAAAACAAAAATGATACTATGATACTATCTTGCTATGCTTTCATTGTAGCTACAACAGAATTGCAATGATGTAATTGTGACAAAATATTAGTCTCATTAATTTGATATTTATAGGTGGGAATTCTGATCTAGACCTTGAAAAATCTGCACCATGTCCTGTTGAAAAGAATTCAGTGTTCATGCTTACCTACTAATTAAGGGTGTTAGCAAATCTGAAACAGGTTGTTGTCCCTTTCTTTGAAACTTGTTAGTATTTCTCCTGGAAGCAGCAGTAAATTTAGTCCTTCAGCTCGTGCAGACCAAAAGATTTATCAGTAGACCTTTCTGTAGAAAGAACTTTAAAATATTTGAGGTTTTTAATTCTTTTTTTTTTTTAACTGAAAGGTGAGTATTATGTAAGTGCATAAGCATATTGTTCTATATATTCTTTGTTTTTCTTAATGACTTCCTTTATTTTCTGCTACAGAACTTTGAAAGAGACAGAACTTAGATAGACTTTTCATCTTACACAAAATGGCTAGTTAATGATTTATCTTCATTAGATTAATGCCCTTATCTTCCCAAGTGCTTCCTTTTGTGAGCAGTAGTTAGGGAGTTGGGCTGGAATGATGACACATGCTATCCATCTTGTCTTCCACCTGTTTCAGAATACTCTGGGATGACAAATTGAGTTCTGACTTTCAGGCCCCTTGTTTCAATAGTCATCAGATGCCTTTTGAATGGGAAAGTTTGGCTCTTGCCACCCAATTCCTTTTTGGCAATGTTTCAAAAAAAAAAAAAAGTTGAAAGCTTGAATCTTACTATGAAAACTAAATTAGTCTCTGCAGACTGCTCTGTCACCTGTGCTTTAGGTTCCCAAAGTAAGTATTTCTAAAAATTTGCACAGTATTTAAGATTTGTCAGTGTAATAAATTAAAAAGGGTTTTGTGTCCTATGTGTTTATTATTTTTTACTTTTTTTAATCAGTGTTGCCTAGAGACTGAGAACAAATGTTGTTTACTGTTGGAGTCAGAGGCAGAGTGTGTGCCCTTATCTCTGATACCTGGCTCTGACATCCAAGAAAGCATTGAATTTCATATAACACTGTAAAAACAACCGTTAAATAGAAAAACCAGGAGTGTGTGTGTAAGTTAGAGAGTTTTCTTAAGTCACTAGGTGAAAAAGTTACAGTTTAAGGTTTAAGCTAGTTAGAAAACAAAAAACAAGATGGAGGATTTAGGGTGTTGTGTCTTTTTCCTTCTTTTTTATTCATCTTCTAGGGGTTTTTGGGTAGTAATAAGTGATTGGATCAAAAGTGCCGCCGTACAGCACACAGGTGTTGGCTCATTGGGTCACTAAGAAAAATAATTTATTTGGCATTTGTTAATTGGATAAATAGACATATAAAAGACCTTGAAGAAGTTCTTTGTTAGCCGTTTTGCACTTTTCTATCTTACTGCATGTAGCTCTTTGTACCATGTATATATGCAATATAGATAAAAGAAGAATAAACAACCAAGTCCGAATGAGAGAAAACTGTTTCTCTCTCATCAATCAATCTCATCGATTTCCAAGGGGGAAAAAGAATCCAGCCACAACAGTCCCATCAGGACAGCTTACTTGTCTGTGAATACATATATATATACAGGATTTAAAAGAAATGGTAAAAAATAAGCAAAGTTTTTTGTGTTGTGGAGCCAGAAGATAGAGATCTTTGGCTCAAAAGGCTTCAATTTCATCTTCCATTTAGCATTTTTGAGTTTTTCTGAGAAGCTCTAATTGGAGGCTGCTGTTCTAAACACAGGAACAGCCAGTGACATTGGGGTTCTCATCCCCTCTGTGAACCAGCAGTACTTGCTTCCGTCCTTAAAAACATTGCATCACCATAGCTGGATTTAGAGCTGTTGTGGGAGCTGAGAGGGAGTCAATACTGAAATAGTCATGATTTTACATAAATGGAAGACTCACTAGAACTTTGGGTCTGCAAGAAACTGAAATGGCTATGAGAACCATTTTCTCAAAAGAATTAGGCTAAAGATGTTTAAAGGGTTTTTCATGTGTTATGACAGTTTTTCTCCATAAAAAAATGTATTTTTCCTAAAAATATTTAGATGCATTTACAGATAAGTAATGGATTAGATTCCCCTTGGAATGTGTGTTTGTGTGATTTGAGATTGAGGTTATTCAAGAAAAAATAGACCAGAGGATAATTTATTAGCAACTTGCTAATAGAGGGCAATAAGAATACCATAATAAAACCAGTGGCAGACATATTAGACAAAGCAATTTGAACACCATTTCCGGATAAAGAATACCAAATGCGTATGCACAAAATATTAGGACACTGGCTTCCCAGGAACTTGTTCAGACCATTGATATTATATTAAACGGAGTTATAGTTAATATTGCTGGTTGGCTACTATCAAATTAGTGAATGATTGCAGGCTAATTTATTTTCAAGTCGATGCTCATTTGAACTAATTTGGTGGTTCTGCAGCAATGCAAAAGATGACGAATTCTGAAATAATGTAATTGGTGCAAAACTTGATTAAAACAGAGGATATCTAGACAAGAAACAGAAAATCTTATCTCCCTAATATTTCAAATAAACCAGGTCTTGGTGGATTTTTTTTTTATTTACATATTTTTGTTTACATTTTATTGCCTACCATAGTTGTGTTCCCCATAGGACCTACTTGCAGTTCCTCCGGGGTATCTAGATTTTCTAAGAAAATGGGCTTAATTAAGGTGTTAATTTCCTTTTGGTGAAGGGAGGAATAATTGAGTATGATGACAGGAGTCATGACACATCCTGAGTTTGAGCAGATATCACTGAAAGCCTAGAATGAGTGGAAAAGTAACTCCATGCACTAAGAAGAAGCAAAAGAAAGAAAATACATTTTATAAACTGAGAACTGTGTAGACATTTACCATATATAGAAACCATGAATGTCCTAAGGGAATGGAAATAGGGGTTGCTTATCTCAGCTGCTGTTGTGCTCAGTGAATGTGATTGCATATACTGTTCTGGTTCATTAACAGATGGCTTGGTAAATGTTGTGTTTGAATAAAGCTTGAATTCAGAGAATTCTTGAACACTGTTTCCAAAACCCAAATTTTAAACCCACTGAGCTTCACTTCTGCAGTTGCTTTGCCATTTGTAAGTAGTTAACCTACATTACAATGCACTGGAGAAGTCACTATAGACTCCTAGAATGTAATGCCAGTAACAAAATTAAGCTTCTGGTATAAATTGCCTTGGATTTGGGGTGGCTTTTTTGTGGAATATCCAATTTCACTGTGTGTGGCACGTTTTTTTTACTTTAGCTTCATCATGTGCATCATGAAGTGACTGTTAGTGGTTATCATATGGGATCCATTCTCATCATCACGAAGATCTCTTTCTCAGACTCTTTGATGTACATGTAATTTCTCTAAGTCACTGTGTTTTCTGCTGCCAGAAATATGTTTTATATGCTGCTTGTATATGCAACTGACACTGTTTTTGCCTAAACTTACATCAAAGGAACCTATGCCACTGATGACTTGTGGGGTTCTTCTATATGCATGGAAATAAGAAACTGGCCTATTTCCTTCCTCTAGAGTGCTGTTTTCTGACCATAAATTTCACCAAAAAAGCACACTGTTGCCAAGTTGGCTTTAAAAATGCCTAACTCCTACTAAAGCAACTTACAGGATGTCCTATATTAATCTTTGTGATTGAGATCTTTCCATCTGTCCCTTTCGATGACAATACTGAATGTTCTGTACTAAACATGCAAGTATTCAACAACCATTTCTCTCCCACCCCTATAGTTTGTACTTTTTTGGTTTTTTATGCATGAACAAACCCTAGAGTATCCTACTCTAAATGGACCTTCCATAACTTACAGTTTCAAAGAGAAAAAAATCCACTTCCCTTTTTTATCTTTTAGGATACTGGAATCTGGGGTATTAAAAAATTTTAAGAAACAAATATTTTTTACTTTTTCCAAATATTTTTATTTCTATGCTACTGCTGGAAATCTGACTGGTTGCAACTTTTTAACCTAATTATTTGTGACTAGAAAGCTAATAAAATACGGAATTTTCTTGAATAATTCAGAATGGCTGATTTTCAAGATAAAGAAGCAAGCTTCTCCCTTGTGAGGTGTCCAGAGAGAAGAACTGTCCTCTGCTTGATGGATCATGATCCACAAGTCTCCCCTTTAGGGTGCTTTGAAATTAAACTGTTCTGTTCTTTGCATGAATGAGGCTTGCAGGGAGAGAGAGAGGTTGCTCTGTTGTGAAAATGGAGTCAGATGAGTCTAACACTGCGACTTAATTTTTTACCTTTACAAATTTTTGTTATCATAATAAAAAATAGCTACTTATTTTTGGGTGTGAAACTTGTCTGTGTCAGTCTAAGCCAGAACTGCCTCAGCCATGTGTTTGTATTTTGGTCTGACTTGCTCAAGAATCCTCAGCACACCGCACAAAGCTCCTCTGTCTCTAGGCTGAGTAACAGCTATATGATACTCCCAGACATACCTTTCCTAGCCACATGACATATTGCCATTCCAAGTACTGAAAGTCTGTATATTTCTCTTTCCTGTTATTATAAATTCCATGTAAAAACTAAACTTCAGAAATACAGTGAAATATTTGCTAGACTTGAATCTGAGAGTGAGTGCTTTTCTGGGATCTCTTCTGTTAATTTAGATTTCTCCACACACCCTGGTGACCCTTGGGGGATGTGTGGAGACCTACACTCAAAATGGGGGTGCAAGAAAGAGAAATGTTTTTATAGGCATAAGAGGTAGTGACCTGAGGTGGCCCCTGAAAATCAACAAAAATGTGCTAAAGGTTTTGGTTGCATGAGCAGAGGGAGAGTTTCAATCACTTAAAAAATAAAGGGAAAAAGGAAAATGTTGGATGG